TTTGTATTCCCTCAGTGTGCGTTAGGTTGTTTTGCTGTTGCTCTACTACGAAAGAGAGAGTGTTGGGGAGGGGGGGATAATTGATCCCTGTATTCTGTTGGGATGGGCTTTACTGAATTCTGTTGTTCTAATTAGATTCCAAAAGAACAAGCTGGTGTTTTGTCACCTTAGGTGTGTGTCTTGGATTTTACTCATGATCAGGACTGCTGTTGTGACTAAACCCAAAGTTAATGTGGAACCTTCTGGGTTTTTGTGTTTTTTTTTTCTTCATTTACATGATGTATTAGAGTGTTAGAAGCTCCATTAATCTTTTCATTGGGAAAAATAGTTATCATGTTTAGCACAAAACATTACGTTGTGAGGTTTTAGTATTTAGTACTCCAAAAGTGCATTATTTTAACAAACAGCATTTGTCCTTGAGTGTGACTTTGGATGGATGAAAACAAAGAGGGACAATGAATGCTTTTATGCAGGTTGAGGTGATCAGATCACCTCAGAACTTGATCTCTTGATGTTACTGCCTTGAATAACAGCACCAGGGCTTTTCTGCTGCCGTAAGCTTCGGGTGCTGGTTGGAAGTGTGGAGGCTGGTGATCCGCTGTGTTTCAGGGTTCTTGTACTTCATTGGAAAAGTCACTGGGTTGAGGCATCCCGATTTCAACTCTGAAATTCCCCAGACAAGAGGAAAAATTTGTAAACCAGCATAGAGAACTGTGCCAAGCATTCCTGTGGCAACTTCATGTTGGTGGTTGATTCCTGCTATGGAATTGAACTTCCCCAGCTGGATCCCCGTTTGTGGTTGTAAGCCTTCTCTCCGGAGAGGTCAATAGCATAGCAAAATGCTTTGTTTTTTGGATGCTAAATCTTTCTAATGAGAAGATTGGAAAGATCCTCAAGTAGGAGAGAAGCCCATCTTGAATTCTGCTGCAAAACATTCACATGGATGGAGCTTTGGACAGCAGCCATCAGAAGTAGAAACGGAGGACTTACTGCCTAGTGACTTTAGGACCAACAACTCGTTACCTTATTGTAGGAAAAACATAGAACCTATTTAATAGCTTTACACTTTTCAAGTAAGGTATATCAGTAAGGTTCGCTTCTGATTTAATTCCTTTCAAATTACTGCAGTAGCCAACTTCCTGCCTGCAGATTCTTTTTCTGTTATTATTCAGGCTGTCCTTTGCCCCGTGGCCGATGGATGAACTTGTATGTAACGTCTCCTTGCCATCTAATATGGCATAGTTCTGTTTTGCAATTTCAGATGATGTGCCAAAGAGTTGCTGTGTGCTCACTCTTCTGTGGTGAGGGCAAGACTGACTTTTTCAGCTTACTTTCTTCTTAAGAATGGGCCCCCGGGTGTCTGTTCCAATGTTACAAGAAAGATGCATTGGTGGGGGGTTCTGTGACTGTGTGTAAGTCAACTTGTCTTTTTTTCTGTTGGATATTTATGCTTTTCAAATAAGTGCCAATAAATAGAAAAAAATACATGGTTTTCTGTTTCTGTGCTGTGTTAGAAAGATAACTGCATTACTATTTTAATCTGCGATTAAGTGTTTTTCTTTCTAACTCAGAGTATCTATTGTATCACATTTCCACCCTTGTTTGTTTAGCATTGAAGTTGGCCCTAAAATCTGCAGCACAACTCTTGGAAAACTGAAGAATAAAACCATTTCCAAAAAGTAATCTTTGTGGTTTACCTTCCCAGTTGCCCAGGGAACATTGATAACCGTGCCCATGCTCAATGCTCAGGGGATTGTATTTTTGGAATGAGCTCTTCCTGCATTTAGCAGAGGCATAGATACATCATGGTGGGAGAGTGACACAAATGCCAGGAAAAATGAGCCAGTGCCTCAGCCAGATTAATTTGCTTGGGTCTTCTGTGTGTTGTCAGCAAGTCGGTTCATCTGAACACCCAACAGCTGTCCTCCTGATCATTAGAATGAGAACCTAATCCTAAACTTGTACTTTTCACCTTTCTTCTGAAGACCGGGCTGTAAGCGATAGCTGACTTGCGCAGACAAAATAGATCTGCAAAGTCTTACGTGCTCTTGTGAGGCAATCTTGTGATTCTCAGGTCAGTTGTGTGTTTGTGAGCCCAGTGCTGCTGCTGAAATCACTGCAGGCAGAAGTGACTGCAGGAGCTCCACCAGCCAGCTTCAAGCTACGCAACAGCTTGAACGTTTCTTAGCAGTTGTCACTTGAGAAGTGTTCACTTTGTTATGTTTCTGCATATGTTGCATTTGGAACTTAAAACAGAGAGGTTCAGGAGTTGCTATTAGAATATGTGAGCTCTTTGTACCCTTTCTTGTTGCCAACTGTCAGATGGAGTTTAAGTTGTTCCCTCTTCTCATAAGCACAGAGTTAAAATATTTGTAAGTGTCATTGAATGTTGCAATTAAAATACTATAATTAAAACTGTCTCAATCCACAGAGGAGCACTTTGCTTGGAACACACTGTTCAATAACTGGATACAAAAATTGCCACCTTGCTGCTTTGTGTACTGTCTGTTTTCAAGGATTATGTTGCGGATGACTTTATTGCTCTTAGCCTGTAACAGTACAGTCTTCTCACTTCTCATTTGATTTGTGGTTTCTGAAAATGAGCATCCTTGTTGGATGTGATGAACCCGGGCCTGAGAAACAGGCAGGCCATGAAGATTCTTCAGGCAAATCTGGCACTTAGCAGATCAAACCTGTTTTATTTAGCACTCTCTCCTGTGATGAATTATGGCACGAAAATCTTTGTCATTTCACTGGACATGAACTGAAGTAGGAAGAGGTAAAGGTTCTGTTCTTTGGACATCTGGTTCTTATTGCTGCTTCCCCCCTCTGCGGAGGAAAATCAAAACCATGGTGTATGTATCATGCGTTGGTTTTTGTGGCACAAAAATAGTGCACTGTTTTGACTTCCAGTCTTTCAAGAAGCTTAAATCAGGTGGTGGCACTGAAACTGATGCAGGAAGCTTCCTGCTAAAAATAAATCCAGATCCTTTCATTACAAGCACATTGACTTCAGCAGTAGCTCTTCGTTTTGGACATGTCTGAATTTATATCCCACAGCAGAGGTGTCACAGGAAACCCGTTACTCAGGCAGCCCTTATCAGCCTTTTCTTCATGCTGAGGGCAGCCATTGCTTTCATTTGTGCTGCTGTAATTGTGATTTTGCTCTTGCTTAATATATTCCTTTGTGTAATTATTCTCTGCTGTTTCACAGGCCAGCCTGTGTTACTTCACTTGCATTTAATTCCGCAGTTTATTATCAGTGTGGTTATGGAGCTCTGTAACTTTGAGAGCTGGTAAAGTCAGCTTTGGTTTACTGTGTAAAGTGAGCAGCTCATCAGCTTACAGCAGAGAGCTTCTGCAGGTTGAAAGCTGTGTATGTTCAGCATGCATTGAAAAACAAGGAGTGAAATAGGGCGATTTTTTGCCAAATCTGTTGAGCAGCCCCCCTCTGGTGGAGGCTCGTTATCACATACTGCTACGTATGAGCATAACATTTCATGCAGTTGACTCTGAGAATTCTTAGCTGGTTGATTCCAAAAAGCGTTCCTTTGCTTTGCTGGTGGAGGCACAGCTCTGTGCGTGACTTCTCTGGGCTGCCACAAATGCCACCAACTGTTCAGGAGCAGGAATGCAACCATCTGACGGTGTGTTTGCTTGTGTCCCCTGAGAAATGGGGGCAGTAGGTGAGTCCTTTTTCAGGCTATTTCTGTGGAAGGCTGCTGGGCCCGCTTTCCAGCCTCAGGGACATCAGCTGTGCTCCCTGCTGGGATGAAGCCATGGTGTGAAAAGCCCTCTGTCCCTGGAGCTCTGGAAAGGTTGTGTTGGATCCATTGTAGTTATAAGCATTCTGTGATCCGCTTCTTGAGAACAAAGGGGGAAATCTAAGCATTTTCTCATCAGACAAAGCAAAGATCTGAAGGAGATGCTGCACCAGGCCCCTGCTGCTGGCAGTGATGCAGTTGGAGAGGATCCTCATAGCTCTCTCATTTCCTGCCTGCCAGCATTGCTTGTCTGAGATCCCAGTGCCATAGTCATGGGTAAACAAGTTGATTGTTCCTGCTGGGTGATCTTAAAGCGCTCCTAACTGTCTGCTCAAAATACTTCTCCATCTCAAGGAAATGACTGTTTTGTTTGTCTTAAGGAGTCAGGAATGGGAAATGACGTGAGCACTTAACTATTTTTCCTGGTGTTTGAAGAGGAAGTGCATTCACTGTCTCAGGTCTGATTTCCAGAGGCATCCAGTGTTTGCCACAGCCCTGTTCAATGGGCCTCAGGGTACCAGAGGTACGTGCACACAGATAAATGCATCCTGAACGTGGTTTAAGCCTTGTACACCACCCCGGAGGAGACCCAGTGTCTCCCTCGCATCTTGCTGTGGCACGAGGTGAGGCATTTCCCCCTTTCTGAACTGCAGCTGCGCTCAGGTCTCGTTTATCCAATGTTAGAGTAGATCTGTGACTATGTTGTCACCTCCCTGACATGGGAGTCAAAATTTGCATTTTTTCATGTTTATTTTGCCTAAGCATGAGCTTTATCTGCAGCTGCTGTGTTATGCTGTGCACAGAAACTTTATCTGTGTGTTGTTCCTGGCTTGACCTTGAACAAGAAATGTTCCAGTGTTTTAGTTCTCTTGGTTGCTGATAACTCTTTGCTCCCAATTTCTTTGCTCAAGGTGTTTGCTCTGTGCTGGTTGCTTCTTTCCAAATCCCATGAAAATGAATGTTGGCAATGTGTGTCACAAAACTCCAGATTAACAGTGATTAACAATTTACAGGTGATTAAAAATATCAGCCAAGCTACGAGAATGCAGCTCCACAGCAGCAGGAATTGAGCAGGAATCTGAGCCATGCCTACCTCTGTAACCAGAGCTCTCTTCCCAGTTGTAGCACAGGTCTGGAACACCAAGAGCTCAAACCAACTTTTTTATAAGATCTATTAATGTCTGTTTCTTTATCACCTGATGCTGATAGATGACACAGTCTCAGTTCACCTGGCAATCAAGCTGAAGTAAGGTTTTTATTGCCCTTTAAAGACTTGGGGTGTTACATGTAAGAAATTTACAGTAGTTATTAATGTAAATTCAACCTCATCGTTTTTTAAACAGCAACATCTGTGTGGTTTCCTTGTGCTTCTGTGCACAAAGTCCAGAAACGTGACCTGTAACATGCAGAAGGGGGAAGCTTAACTTCCAAAACGTTCCATATACAAATCAAAGCATATTTACTATATAGACTCCTAATAAATCTGTATGCATGAACCAAATGCAGTCATAGTGAAATGAAGCAGTAGAAATGTTATAATTAAACATCTCTACAATGAAATGTGAAATAGGGTGAATGTTCACCTGGAATGAAACACTGGACTTTGAGCAGGAGTTCCTCGTACCAAAGAAATCCTGCCTCGGCTGTAAGGTGTGGTGGGGGAAGGTGGAGACAAAAATGCCTCTGCTGCTCTGCTTAGTTTGGTCTGTAAAACTGGAAAAGGTGCTGAATTCTATATTGGTGTGCAGTGCGGGTTCAGGTTCTGTTAATGCCACGTAGCTCACAGGTTGCACGCAGCCCTGAGAAATGAAGGGATCTGATTACAGAACTGGTCTTTATTGTCTGCGGTCGATACAAAATGTCTGTTGCAGAAATTACCTCCCCAGGTAAGAAAACCAGCACTCGGTGATACATGGCTAACAGTGAAGTAAGGAATTTGAGAATTACTCCTTCACCTAAACGTAATGGTTTATTTCATAGTTTCACTGATGAAATTTTCCATTTGCTTCAATGATCAGCCACGACTGCCATCCTTCTGGTACACATACAGAAGTGTCAGGCATCAGCCTCAGCATGTACAGCCACAAACCAAAGGAACGCTTACATGACAGTTTGCTTTTATAGTGATCACGCACTGATGTGAACATAGACTAAAAATAACAAATGTTTGCTTTAATAAGGATTTTTTTTACAGTAGGCGTAAATATAAAAGTGTTTCAAATTATTTTCACAGGTATCACTGAACATTTCATAGCTGTCTGTTACAGAAGCACCTAAAAGTGCTTTGAGTCTTTCATTTATTATACATAGTTAAAATATATTACACTTCTGAAGGTATCTTAGATCACTGAACAGAGCTGCTAGCATCTCGATGAGCCCAATGGGAGTAAAAGGCAGTCCACATTCATGATGTGAATATACAGTAAGGTGTTTGATGTCCTGCTAAGTCATTGCTCATGTTCTCAGAATAACCATGGTGATGAGACCTGGAGGAAAGGATGAAGAACCAAGTGCTTTAACTTTTCGAGATGGAGAAGGCAGTTATTTCACAGGGCAGAAACTAAAGCAGAAGTAATGCATGCAGGAGGAGTTCATACAGACCCCCTGCATAAGTACTACAAGTATTGCTCCAAATTCTGATGTAGACAAAACTCAGGTGTTCCATTATAGGAAGTGCTGCCTTGTAGCTAAATCTCAAAGAAGCCATAACTGCTCTGTACAACCAACTGCCTGCTGGAAAATCTCATCCATGTTGAAATCTAAGTTTAACAAGGGCATGGAAGCCATTGGTTTTGATGTGGGATGGTTATGGGCAGTGTAATTCAAATGCTGAGTCATCAGTAAGGCAGGTTAGCTAAAAGCTAGATGGTGATTTCTATTCAGTTCTCTGCAGAGCAATACTTGTCCTGAACTTATCTTTGCTCAGTCTGCACTGGGAGCTTTCTGCAGGCTTTGTGACCTTTAAGAAGGGAGGGAAACAAAAGTCTGCTCTGACAGAGGCCTAAAAAACTCCCAATTAAAAATAGGCTCCAAGGATGAAAGCAGAAAATACAGGGTTAGAAAACCTACTACTGCCACACAGAAAAACCCACTGCCATTGTGTTGATAAGAAAAAGGTTCATAGCCATGAATGTATTTAGTACAGGGCAAAGAGGCATATGGAAAAACATACAGGCCTTCTGACACACCAGAATAGTAATTCATCAGTTCTTAGGCAATCTTATTTCAGGCTTGGAATACGTTTCTATAATAGCCTTTCACAGCACAGATCTTACAGCCTACAGATTTTACCAGACAAAGAAATTGCTGAGACTCTCTTGCTATGTTGCTTCTCCATACTGATGTAACTTATTTGATAAAGATTTTAAACATAAAAGCATGACTGAACAGAACTGTAATGCTGCCCTCCATTAGACAAGCATTTCATCCCATTAAAGAGGAATTATAGTTCAGCTATTTGTCAAGGTCTGCATTAGCTCAGACAATCCCAAATACCAGAACTGCTGTAGGCCCTGATTTAGATTATTTAAATCACTGCAGAGTAACAGGATTCTGGAAGGTGCTACGGAACAACCTGCACCACGGCTGCGTTTCACTCATTTCTGTGAAGCAAATTCTTCTCCAGTGTCACTGAGTCCCATTGGTGTGGAACAAACCTCCCTTTTCAGTTAAAAACTAAACAATCCATTGTACTTCATTGTGGAAGAAAGTGTTTGCACCTTCGTATGGGCAATCCACTTGTGTTGTAGGTAAGTGCTGTACCCAGAGGAGCCCTTTATGAGCAGTAAGAACCCTGCCCCCAGTAGAACCAAGACCTGTAGGAACTTCACAACGCATCTATGAACAGGTGAGTTGTTACAAATGTATGAATTCAAATGGTTTAACACTTTAACACCATGGTTGTCACCAGCAGAAACTGGGACTATTTTCAAAACTAGAGGTAAAAATAAAACCAGGATTACTGCAAGGTTCTACTCTGAAAATACAATGCCATCAGCTCGGATAGAGACATAGGCTTCTGGTCAGCAGCAGGTGAGATCTAAAACCCTTTCAGCAGATGAACTTAGCAAAGTCAGTCACTAAGCTGTGTGCATTTCATCAACAAGATCTTGCATTCTTTCCCACCACTACCTCACCTCCAGCTCTCAGTTTGAAGCTGCCTATCTCCTTTCCTTTAAATTCTCATTTCTGCCAGGCAGGGGGGTGGGAGAACTGAGTTAAGTGCGAGTGCTCTTCCAATCTGAAATAGCTACAGAAAAATAGTCAAATCAAGTGAAGCGTGCAACTTCTCTATGCTCCTAATTTAGGAGCAAGTGAGCAATCAGGAAGAGGTGTGGATGGCAGTGATCTCTTAGTAAGCAACAATAACCATTTATTTTTGAACATTTCAACTGCTTATCAAGAAGATGACAAACGCAGCCTTTCAGACCAGCTTATTTGGCTTGGAGAGAGAAACAGAACCAGAAGAGTTCTAGGTTCTGCAACAGATTAACTCTGTATTCAGTGCAAGAAACATAATTCATTCCACTCTATTTTGCTGGCAGGTGATTAGAGGTATGAGTGATTGGGCCAGTCATCAAATGAAGGCAAAACTAGTACATGGAAGCCTGTATATAATATTGACTAAAATCTGGTCTAAAATATTTATAATCAATTTTCCCTCATATCATTCTGGCTGTAACGTAAAATATAACTGGGGTAGAAAAGAAAATGTAAGGCAGTTCTTTGTCTCCAGGTTTCCTGAAGCTGCTGCCAAACAGCTGAGAAGTTCCCCAAATCACAAAAGTTCCTCTAAAACACGAAATCCAGAATACTTACCTAAAACATAAGCAGCAACTAACTTCTGATTCACACTTAAATGGAGGTAGAGAGGCACCAGGGATTCCATTTCCCCCAATGTAGGTAGCATTAGTGCTGCAATACACACTATTCCCAGGAAGACTGTTAGTAAACTCGGTCCCGATGAGGCAGGTCTGTTTTCTGAAAAACAAAGCAGTACCACTTGTAGGGAACATCTACCCACACAACAGCAGAGCTGCACTACCTTGATATTTTCTTTATCTTTTTGAGTTTGGAGGGGATGGAAAACAATTTACATCCACTTCCCTAAGCTTTCTGCATCTTGCAGTGCAGGAGGTTGCTCCTGTTCCAAGGCTGATGCTGGAATTTGCTTTCACATGACTTTCCAAATCTCTCCCTTCTAGAGGAACAGTCTGCCAGGCCTGGTAGCTATATATACACACTCCTGGCAGTTAGATGTTTCAGCAATGCTTGAGGTTTCACTATGCATCCTGACACTGATACATTCCCTGTGCAATTAGTAGTTAATTGGGAAAGAACACTAAAAGGAAGTACAGAGGCAGAAAGCTCTTACACCTCCAAACAAGTCTTGGCTACAGCAAGAGCACAGCTGGTGGCCCAGGTGAGTTTCCCTTCTTTAAGGGAGAACTTAAGGCCTGCCCCAGGTCCAGTTCACATGCCACAGCTGAGTAGCATGTTTAGCCTGCTTTGAGAACTGAACTACCACAACAACCCAGTGTCACCCAAACAAGGAAACGCAAACTGCAGATTCATTTATCCTCCATGCTCTTTGCTGTGCTGCAGTTCAATGGCTGGAATCTCCTCACTGACACACTTCAAGCTGTTAATTTCTAACAGGTGGTTCTTAGCACTGTCAACTAACACATTACCAAATGCTTTTAGCAAAGTTTTCTATCCTCACTGTGTCTGGCTTGAGTATCCTATTTTAATTCCAGTACTGTTCTTTCTAGGTTGCAGGTTATATGCAAAGACCTTAAGCTGCTGTTTGCTGCTTTTCTGTAAGCAAGCAATACAATTTAATTAAAGGTTTAAAGAGAAAAAGTAGTGTTTGGATTAAGACCAATATCAGATTGTTCAGAATGGTTCAAACCCTCTGTACTGGAACAACTGTCACATTAACAGTGTGTTCTGTGGGCCCAGAGACAGTGTAGGTTTAGTTTAACCACCTATCCTCCTGCAATACATACTGAGATGGATGTTTTTTTTTCTTAATACAAGGTGTTTCACCAGCCAGCAAACCATTTATAAATGCTGACACAGTTTGATTTTAGCAGGAGAAACAGTCTCAAGCAAGTCATTTTCTTTTCAGGAACTTATTTTTGTTCTTGTCATGAAAAACAAGCAGTGACAAGAACATTACACTATAATTCAGCAGAGGTTGAGGATCCATTCAGATGCACTTCCAGTAAGACTCAATGCTTTTTCTCTCCCTGTCACTTAGCTGTTTGCCCCAGGCTTTGCCCAAGACTTTAGATTCACTTCATCATATACAAAACATACAAAGAATTTCCAGTGGCAATTCTGCTTTTTTTGTACTTTTCAGACAAAGAAGAAAAAAAATTATTATTAATCAAGACAGCACAAGCAGAACTGTCACAGTTTGCTTCTCGAGTGCAATCGTCCTTTGGTGCTAAAGGTAACTAATAAGAATTGTTTTCAAGCTTATTTTAGTCTAGTCTTTCTATTATTTAAGCCATTCAAAACTGATCCAGAGAACAGGATGGATAAAGATTTCAACTACCTGGTTGACACAAAGTCTGCTCAAAAAAGACACTTTCAGACAGGTGTTCCTTTATTCGTTTTTCTTCCTCTTCCTTTTGCTGTGGTGGTTCCTTTGCAGATGGAAGCAGAGTAGCAATAATCTCCTTTCTCCCCAGTGCTTTCCTCTGGCTTTGCTCAGACACTTGCAGTCGGAATTTATCTATCACACCATAGTGAGCAGCACGAACATCTCTGTGACGAATCACACTGCAGAGTACAACAATGTCAAGCAGAGGAGCTGATCAGAACGATGCCTCGTGTGCAATCACGCCCTGCAATGCCAATGTTTCCCATTTTCCCCACACAGATGCATTCAGTAGCTCACATCCCCACTCTATCCTCAGTCACTCAATGTTCTTGAAGCTCTGATCTTGCCTCGTCTCTCTCCTCCCCGTTTGCTGCACCATGGCAGGGCATTCTAGTTCCTAAATATATCTGCTCCAATTGGCTGGCCAAAAAAACCACAGCTATTCTTTCTCAGAAGACACCATTAGGGGCCTGACTGCCACTTCTCACAGAACATCCATTATCTGAAAGACGCCTCCTCTTCAAACAATTTTGCTTTATGCTGTCCAATATGTCAAAAGGTAGAGGGGGACGTGGGGTAGATAGGGGAAAAAAAGGACTGCCAAGCACTTGGACAGACAAGGTGATGGCAGAAGTCTCTTCAGGAAAGCAGGCTCAAAGCTTTGAAATTACACTTTCCCAAAAGCAAAACTAATTCTCTCTATGGGTAAGAGTCATCTAGATTTAAAGAGATTTTTGAAATCAGAAACTCACCAGTTTAAGGCACGTAACTGCAATATAAACATTTCCCATCCCTTCCATACAAGAAGAGAGCAAGCGTGGCTCTCAGAGCTCTGTGCTGCCAAAGCTTTGCTCAGCAGTCTTGCTACCTTGAGCATATTCTGCAGCCTGAACTGAAATACTGCAGGCACTTGACCAGCTAGCAAGAGTTAGGGCTGCTGTTATGGACACAAGCTGCAGTCACACCCCAACTGCAGCACAGGCAAAGCTGAGCCATGCCTGGAGTCCATTTGTTCCCTCACAGACTTCTGTACTGCCCAGCAACCACTGGGAACTCTGCTGTTTTGAACAAGTTGACCAAGATGGTTTCAAAATTAAGGCACTGTGATAGCTGTTACATTACTTCTACTTTTATGGTATTTAATGTGAAAAAAAAATCATATGTAGGACACGTAAAAGGCACAGTTTAAAAATAACACTGATCAAAGGCAATACAGACCTTTGCAACACTGCTCTGCTCACCTGCCTCCTCTCTGCATTTATGATTCATTATGAAAATACCCATCTAGCACTAAAAAAAGAAAACATTCAGGTTTTTAAAAGTCATAGCAGCTCTTAGAGTTAAAACAAAGGATTCTTCTGGAGTGCAAAACTTTTTTTTCTTCTTTATGAGAGGCTACTCTAAATTTCTAAGGTAATAATAGCTAACCTGAAAAAACACCTGTGTATAAGTGGTGTGGCTTCAAGAAGGTTGCCATATCCTGAGGGAAAAAAGTGGTTTTACCTTTATTAATACAGGATAAACTTTTCAGAAACGATTATGAGCACTATCTTTGTGATACATGTGCATCAAAATGCTACAAGAAACAGATGTTAGTTTCTGGTTTCTTTTAAATGAATTGTGTCACAGCAAGGTATCTACAATCATAAACACAGAGCAGTGCTTATAACCAGAATATAGTTTGAACACACCATTCAACAAGGAAACAGAAACTAAGTCATCTCTCCTAAGCAAGATGGGCATAGAAATGCCTGTGGTTTTACTTTAGGAACCAAGCAGTGTGCTTATGTCAGGCTTCAAGAAGCTCAGTGGTGGTTGGGTGAGTGCTTTCATTAAAACAGAGGGATTTTCCCCAACAACACTTTCATACAACCCTGAGAACTGAATCTGCTGTTCTGATAAATTATTTCTCCCTTTAAGACTTCCTTTACAGTTTTTTTCTCTTCTTATATGTGCTACTATCGACCTAAACAAAATCTGTACATACTGCTGCACTATGAGACATGCATCTGCTGCCAAGCAAAGAGATGTTTTCTGCAGACCCTTATAAACAGATACATGCTCATGTTTCTTGTCAGAGGCCACTGCTTAATTAGAAGCTCCGTAGAATATGTTTATCTGGCAAGCAGCCACACTTACCTAGTACTGCTCATAGCTTTGCAGTGAACACTGACATTGGACAACAACGTCAACAGAACCAGATGGGGTTTTCTTTGCCACACAAAAACTCCCCAGGAAATAGGCATACCTCTTATTTAACACGTTTGTTTAAGCCAAAGATGAACTAAACATTGAGAATGTGTAAATGCCTGCTAAACCCTGCCAGTGGCTTACTGATATTCTCATTGATTTTGTTCTATCTGTACCTCACAGAGATAATGTTGCAAACACAATGAAAAAACCTGGGCAATTTTATCATATCTATTGGTTCTTGCTCTACTTTGAATTTCAGCAGCCTGCAGGCCCTGCATGTTACTGGAGTAAACTTAACCAGCATTCATTTCTCCTCTGTTATGGTGCTGGGACCTGAAAGGAGAAGTAAAGGGGGAAGGAGGGGTGGAAGAGAGAGCAGAGAGTACAAGACAGGTGGTCAGGGTGAAGGATGGGCAAAAGTACCTTCGTTAAATATGTCCCAGAAAAGTGTGTTCAGTAGAACTTCATAAGTTTTCACTTTGTCAATCTGCAAACAAATATTTCTCCCAAAGAAATCCCAACCCTAGGGGTGGTCTTGTTCTTCTTGTTAGAAATAACAAAATACAGACTCCATACTCTCACTGATGATTCACCAACTATACTACAGGATGCATTTAGTAGCATGTTGTTTATGCTTAAAGAGAAAACTAAAGAAGCAATCTCCAAATCGTTACCTTTGCCCTAGAGTAAAAGAACAGTAAAGACTGGATGGCCATGAGAATACAGGAGATCAGGAAAGCATGGTAATATTTATATAGTTTATGCTGTGTTTGCTGTCATTCACTACCTCTTACAATAATGAAGGAAATTAGGTAATCAGACATCGGGGAAAAATAAACCACTTTTTACTTACATATCAACACAGCACTGAGGCTTCACTGCTCCGGTCGCATCAACCACCGCATATTTATTTGGAGTTGTACAGAGAACTGCAAAGGAAAGGACAGCAGAGGTGACAAGTCACACATCAACACCTGAGTCACCAACAGATACACGTGGAGACAGGGCTTTGGTTTTGTGGCAAATATGATTCGTTACACAAACTATAATTGGATTGTTCAAGATCACCAACTAATCCTTAAATACAACTTAACCTAAGAAACCCACCTTTGAATTTTAAGGCAAACTCATAGGGGTTATATAGAGTCAACACCTGCTTGTGTGTCGACTGGTCATCTGCATAAAATATAAGTTCTGTAGGAAAAACAAAGACAGGAAGATTTCCTTCCACTAACTCTGGCTGTCTTCTTTGTTGCTGCATTGGCACTGAATCCTCCTTGCTGCTTCTTGTGTTCTTATGAGTTTTGTATCTTCAGCAACTTCAGTTTTAGAATCGTTTAAGAATTCCAAAGCATTTTGGCAATTCTGAAGGAAAAAAGGGAAAAAAGAGAGAAGGTGAGAAGATTGTTCCCTGAACCTCTGGTAAACTGAGGCAGACAACAAAGTTGTAAGAAGGTAGAACTCTGTACAGGTAGCTGCATAACTGAATATCGTCATTCAAAAACGTGGCAATGCCTTTTCTATCCACACCAGATCGCATCCATTTAACAAACTGCTCCAAAAGAAATGGATCAGCACTTCTGCAGCCCCCAGTCTGCCGTGCCTCTGTGACACAACTGTGCAACACAAAGCAAACAGCACAAATAAACGCGACTCTCACCTCAGAAAACAAACGGTTGAGAAAAGAGCAAAATGAGGAAACACAGCAGCAGGCATCGCTGGAAGGATCTCACTGCGCTGTGAGCTGTGCAGCCGTTCCAGGATGAAGTGTAACTGAGGTATCTGCTCACACAGGCAGATTCAGAACAAAGGAATGGGGAACATCTTCGTGCTTTGTCTAAACTAAGGTCTTGTTGTGATTGCACAGTAGTTACTGGCAACGAATTGAAAATTAACTGGGATGAATAACAGGAGATCCATGTTGGATTTCTTACTGGGTTAAGAAATGAGAAAGGTTTTCTACCAATCTGCCTCTAAACAAAACATAACCATCGTGATTCTCCTTTGCCACCCCCACAGTTTTTATTCCAAGTCTCATTCCAGAACTAAAACCAGAACCTCTGACCTGATCGAGCAACAATCCCAAATGTAATTTGTCCAATAAAATTAAGGGCAGATTGCTCAGCACGCGCTGCATGCCAGTGACCTTACACACTGCAGACACAACACAGTGAAACAGCTTCCCCTATTCTTCCCCCAAGATTGTCAGATTTTACTGTACTTCCCCTAGGTTTACTATCAAACTAAAGGTGTCCTGTGAGGCTCAGCTTTATTCTACAATAGGACATAATAAAAGAATAAAAAGTTCCCACAGGCTCACGAGCTGCAATGTCCACTTTCAATGCAGCCTTACAGAACATCTGTTCCAGCTGTTCTCCAGACAAATAACCTGATCTGGTTGCACCTTAAGAAATCCAGTTTCTGAAATGTCTACATTGAATTCCCACAGCGCCCCAAACAAACAAAAATAAAAGCTTGGATTTTTGCATTCAGAACATCGTGATGTTTACATTTCCAACACCAAATCTGCGCTTTGTATTCAAAACGTGACAGGAATGAATGTTTGCTAGAAGGTATTTTAGTAGCCCCATCTTTGGATGCACAGGCTGTGTTTCTCGTTAAGCTCTTCTGTTTCTTTACTTTTTTAAAGCAGCAACTCGTTAGAGAACTGCTCTCACTGGACACCTTTCCCTGGGCTGAATTGCTGTGCAGAGCACAGGTTGATTTCCGCTTCACTGCAACGCTACTAAGAATACTCTGAAAACAAATCCCCAGTGAGAGCGTTCCAAAGCTGATGCTCTGCTACCTTATTAAGAAGGGACTGGAAAAAGAAACAGATCTGTGAGTGGCAATTTGGGCTCCGTGGTGCTTCCTAGAATTGTCATAAATGCATTTTGTTTCAGAGGAATGAACAAGCTCTAAGATCACTGCGTGGAGCAGCTGCAAACAATATTTCCTGCAAAACTGTACGAGCCATTGCAGAATGAGATTAAATAGATTAATATACATCAAATATGTTATTATGTTATTAATATGACTATCTGCCAAATAATCAGCATAGGAAATAATGTCTTCTGAAGCTTCTGATGCACAGATTTTGTACTTTTTTTATTTCTTTTTCCTCCCAAAATTAACACAGTATACAGTAAGTTCACATGAGAACAACTGGCTCTCAAACAGACCTACTGCATACATTATACATATCAGATATATGAGCCATCTTCTTGAAATGAACAATTGCTTTCCTAACAAGTGTTTTACTTCTGTACAACCACTACCAAAGTACTGCCAGATATTTAGGTGACCAGATTTATTAAAATGTAAACCATTTGTTTTTTATTTAATGATTGCAAATGAAGCATCACAGAATCATAGAATGGCCTGGGTTGAAAAGGACCACAATGATCATTTAGTTTCAACCCCCTGCTGTGTGCAGGGTCACCAACCACCAGACCAGAGCCACATCCAGCCTGGCCTTGAATGCCTCCAGGGATGGAGTACCACAATCCCATTAAACACTGCATGGGTTTCATTCTGATTTCTGGCATCACTGCACAGCTCCAGTTTCCTCAGCTCAGCCACCAGCAAGCAGCCAGGTGCTCCCAGCCCACACATCACAGCACGCAGAGCTGTGCACCATAAGCCTACCAGCAGGTCTTGCTCTTACACATCCATTGGTAACAGTGCACAAACCTTCCTGGATTCCACAAGCTTTCACACTGAAAGCTACCAACCCTAAAAAGAAGTGCATCCCATTATTGCTTCCTTTTCTTATTTAACTTGGCTGGATAAGAAGTTAGCACTCAAACTGGCAGAAGTAAAGTCTGGCAAACTCAGCTCTACAACAGACTCATTTGCTGACACAGCAGTGTCATTCAGGATATAAAGTTGTAGGTTTCTAGGCAAGCCACAAGCATTCCTTTTGAGAGAATTATTTCAGCTGACAAGTTGCCTTGCTGGGATACCTCACCAGGTAATATCAGCACAAGTACTTTTCCTAAAGACAGCACTGTAAGTTGTACAAACACAGGGGAGGTATGGCAATTTAGTAGTGCAGCTTTCACATAGTGCTCATCAACAACAAACTGTCATTTTTTTTTTAAACAGAGGAAGCCTGTATCATGAAAATGCCTTTGCATGGACCAAACCTAGAGCAGGACTCCTGCTGATGCCCAGAGCACAGCTACGCAGTGCTGCTTTGGCACCGTTGGCCACTTAAAAGGAACGTGGCCATTGCTGTTCTCCATGCTGCACTACAACACAGCAACTCCTATCAGATTACTTTGTGCAGCCAATGGTCACCAGAATTAATCCCAGAACACAAAGATAAGAACAAACAAATGCTTACAAAACACAGACCTGTGGTCTCTAACTATGACCACCAGCACAACTCCACGCAGCATTAGGACTGTGCCAAACTCAAGGCTCCCTGCAGGACAGGGCTGAGGTGGAACACCTGAGCAATGCCAGCCTGCTTTCCAGCGCTCTCTGAGGTCCACACCAACCACTATCCGTGATATTTTCTTCAGCTCACTAAGGATCTCTCCTCCCTGAAGCTACTAAATATACAATGCATGTGTCACACCAGCATGAACTGTCAGCATTTCCTCTGAAACCCCTTTCTTCATAAGCTTAACAGGAAAAAATAAACAAAAAACATGAAGTGAAACTTCTCTCTAGGCTCAGAAATGACAGCCCTTCCGATTTGTTTTTACTTAACAATTACGTGCAGAAAAAATAAATCAAGGAGGGGGAAGCTTTTTGTTCCATTTTAACTTTCATCAGCCCATCACTATGGCTTCCCAGCACACTTGTTTGGCTTTTTTTTTCAAACAGTGGCAAATGACAGAACATCATTTGGTAAACGCTTTATTCAGAGAACTCTTTAGAGCCATAGTTTCCAGATTCTCCTTTTAAAAACTGTAATTAAGGTGTAATCTATGTCTGTTCTATCCCATCATCTACCCTCTAAAGCTACACAAGAGCTTTTCCACACCATTTACTTAACAAACACACAACTGACGTACAGATGACTTTTGAGCACATATTTACAAAATAAGCCACGAAGACCTCGAAATTTCTCCCAGTGCCAGGAGAAGTTTAAGCTTCCGCATGAGCCCCGTGCAAACAGAGCACAAGAAGCAGATCTATTAACGTTTCATCTTTCCAAAACCTTGTGAAGGCCTCAAAACAGACTTACGCAACGCACTGTTTAAACTACCTGCAATTATCTGGGAGAGTCATCCAGTGATGAGCACAGAGCCGGCAGTGGGGATGGCTGCGTTCCATTATTGCCAGCTCTGTCACTGACCCTGTGACCTTGAGCAAGCTGGTTAACCTCACTTCAGTTTGCTGATCTACGAGGGCACATATTCTGCAAAGCACTGAAGTGGGTGGACAGTGACATCAGAACTGGCAGAACCACTCTGAGACTTCTCAAACCCTCTGCTACTGCACAGAGTGATGAGAGCGTCACTGAACTGTCCTCAGGATGCTGGAAATCAGAAGACTCTCAGAGGAGGTCACTTATTAGAACCAACAGCACAACTTGCTTGATCCACACCATTCATCATAGAATCACAGAATGGTCTGTGTTGAAAAGGACCACAATAATCATCTAGTTCCAACCCCCTGCTGTGTGCAGGGTTGCCAACCAGCAGACCAGGCTGCCCAGAGCCACATCCAGCCTCGCCCTGAATGCCTCCAGGGATGGGGCATCCACAGCCTCCTTGGACAACCTGTTCCAGTGCATCACCACCCTCTGAGAGAAAAACTTCCTCCTAATATCTAACCTAAACGTCCTCATCTCAGTTTGAAACCATTTTCCCTTGTCCTATCACTATTCAGCCTCGTAAACAGCCATTCTCCCTCCTGTAATACTCTCCCTTCAAGTTCTGGAAGGCCACAATGAGGTCTCCCCAACGCCTTCTCTTCTCCAAGCTAAACAAGCCCAGTTCCGTCGACCTTTCCTCACAGGAGAGCTGCTCCAGCCCCTGATCATCTTAGTGCCCTCCTCTGGACCCGCTCCAAGAGCTCCACGTCCTTCCTGTGCTGGGAGCCCTCTGTCTGGATGCAGCGCTGCAGATGGGGCCTCACAAGAGCTGAATAGAAGGGGACAATCACCCCCCTCTTCCTGCTGGCCACCCCTTTTTTAACGCAGCCCAGAACACAGCCCAGTTATTTTTCCTTGAGTTTTTCAGACGCCGACAAGGTGACAACAGCAGCTTTGTTCGAACACACCTGAGGGGCGTGCAGCAGCAGGGACACGTGGAATCCCAGCCGGGCTCAGCTGCTGCTCCCTCCACAGTGCGCTATGGGGGCACAAGGGCGCTGTGCCCCGGCCCTCGCACTCACACGGCGCTACACGGCCTTTCATCCCCAGGTTCAGCTGCACAGATCAAATGTCAGGACGGCACCGATTCGCTGCGGGAAACGCTCTTCCTTGAGAGAAACACGGGAAAGAAGCCGCTCTAATTGGGCTCTTAAGACGCACCTACTGAAGGCAGAGAAACAGGAGCGACGGCACACGCTCCACGTATCCCCTTTGTTATTCGGGAGCGGAGATCGAGGCGGCGGCGGGGCTCCGACAGCCCGGCCCCGCTCCGCCCGGCACAGCGCGCCGTCCCCGCCGCCCCTCACAGCCCGTCCTGGTCCGGCCGGCTGCCCGCGCTGGGCATTGAGGCCTGGCAGCGAGGCCTCGCCGGCTCCGGCGGCGCTCCGTGCCGGTAAGGGAAGCGGGCAGGAGGCGGCGTTCCTGTCCCGCCCCGGCGGCGTCTCGCGGCGCCCCCCTCCCCGCACTCACCGCTCGGGGCCGCTGGCTGCGGGCTCGCCCGGCGCCCCCTTTGTACGGCGCCCCCCCGCCTGCTCCCGTCACTGCGGGTAGCGTCGTCGCTATGGCTGCCGGGATGGCGGCGGGCTCCCTCTTGCCTCCAGCCATCGCGAGACGTCAGCGAGCCCCGCCCTCGCCGCCTCGCTCCCGCCTCTCGCCGCCATGTCGGCCGGTCCGTCGGCAGGGAGCGGTCGCTGTGGGCCGTTCTGCGGGCGCTTTTGGGGTGTTTTTCCTTTCCCCCCGGCTGGCCAGTGCCCTTAGGCCGTCGTCCAGCAGAACGCCTGAAGCGACGCGTGGATCCTGTGAGCTGCTTTGCAGTTGCGTTTGTTCCGTGTTCCTCTTATTTACTTAGCGGCCTCATTTTTGTTAAGCTGTTTGTGGACTTCGGCTCCTTTTGCGCACTGTCCGTTATCGCCTTTGTTTTTATTCTGCCTTGGGCTTCTTAGCACTGCATGGTGCGAAAAATCCAGCCCCACAGTCAGTGTGCGAGGCCACTAGCAGCTGTAAGATGGACACTGTGGCGCTTTTATTACGGGCCAGGTGAATAATTAAGATTTATAATTAAGCCTTCCAAGCCAGTAGGGCTGCAAAATCTTTTGCCCATTAGCAGAGTGAAACGACTTGCAATTCTGCATGAAACAAACAGCAGCCATTGGCATTTCGTGTCATGAAGCAATGCAGGACAGAAAGCAACGTATTTTGTCTGTTAAAAGTCGTGAAAGGCGGAGTAAAAGAAAACTATGCCTTTTGCTGCTCAGCCAAGATGTGTTAATGCTCATCTTTTACCAAATCCTTCTGAAGGTCTCATCGTTGCTCGTAGTTCATTAGGAAGTTTTATAGCCACAAATTACTTAAGAAATTGTGGTTGAAATATATGTAGGAATTATAATCCTGTCGATTTCTGGAAGTCTGTGCAGTGAAAACTAGTTTATTTTGTGTCTGAACAACTTTCAGCTAGAAGTAGTATTTCTAAATGCTTACAAATAAGCTGGAATCACTGTTTTCAGACTGATTGACAGACTTTGGTCTTCTCTGAGAGCTCGTTTTGGATCCACTAAGATGATCAGGGGGCTGCAGCACCTCCCCTATGAAGACAGGCTGAGAGAGCTGGGCTTGTTCAGCCTGGAGGAAAGAATGCTGTGGAGTGACCTGATTGCAGCCCTTCAGTACTTAAAGGGAGCCTATAAACAGCAGGGGAATCAACTCTTTGAAAGGAAATGGTTTTAAGTTGAGGGGGGGGAGGTTTAGATTGGATGTCAGGGGGAAGTTCTTCACTATGAGAGTGGTGAGGTGCTGGAACAGCTGCGCAGAGAGGCTGTGGATGCCCCATTCCTGGAGATGTTCAAGGCCAGGTTGGATGAGGCCCTGAGCAGCCTGGGCTGGTATTCAGTGTGGAGGTTGGTGGCCCTGCGTGTGGCAGCGGGGTTGGACCTCGAGGTCCCTTCCCACCCTGGCCATTCTGTGATTCTGTTTGTTTCCAGCACTCAAACAGTAAAAACAACTGTCTCACTTTCAATGGTGTTTACACTTACTGACTGCTTGTTGACAATCAGCAATCACACTGGGCTCCTCCTTTTCCACTCACCTATCTGGGCTTTGTTTTGAGTTATTTTGGTATCTTAAAAGCCCTGTGTTGACTCCAATTAAATGTGTATTGTGTACAGCTGAGTAGGAGTCAGTGTTCCGTCCTTGTTTGCTGTGCCTGATGCATCAGAGAGCACACACCCCACGTCACTGACAATTTTGCAATAGCGAGCCCTTGAGAGAGATTGTGTTTCATACAGGACGTTATTGAATATATGGATGTGCTGCTGCTATTTAACAAGTACTGATGCATGCAAAAATACTGCGGAGCTGGTTGATAAACTCACTGATGCAGAGTTTTTGGTGTGGAGCATGTCCAAACCCAGACTGATACAGTCCTGCCTCTCTTCTTGCTGCCTTGCCAGCAGTGCCCAATACTTCAGATGGTTGAAAAGAGTATTGTAAGGAGTGCCTTGTGCTGTCTGTAGGCTGCTCATCTGAGATGTGGAAAATAGAGACTGCTGCCATGTATGGCAATGATGAGAATTATCTCACAGATTTATGTTAAGTTCTTTGCAGTCAGATTATTGTTTCTTTCAGTTTCTCCTTCTCAGTTTTACGTTATTTTTGCCAGAATAACTGTGTTCTGGATCAGAGGCAGACCGAGGCTGCAGCAATGCTGGTAAGGCGGAGGAAAAAGTGAGAAAAATATGTGGATGAGGAGGAATTCAGAAATATAGATCCAAAGGAGCAGAGACATAAGATGCAGTAGTGAATATGCGACAAGCTGGTCAGGTCGCTGTAAGTGTAATTGGAGGAGTTAAAAAAAATTCTATTCCTGCAGCTTATGTTTGGTCCTCTTAATTTTCTACCCACCTTGGAAACCACTGTGAGTTACCTAAAAACACTGGCTTGTCTTTGTTACATAAAATATTGCCTGCTTGCTGCCAGAAACCTGAGACCGGAGTCTGCAAATACGGAATGCTCCTGAATGACTTCTCTGGAAGTGTTTTTGGTTGCTGTGGTGATTATCCATCTGTTTAAATACTTTATATGTGAGATTCTAAACTCGTTTGTTGTGGAGATTTTCTTGAGTTGTGAGAAAAACAGCATTAATGCCCGATTACCCCTGTGAATTTGGTTTTCTTTGACAGTTGCCTTCTCCATGGCACGGCATTGCAAATCCACTTCTCCTTTCAAATACCTCAGGAAATGAGGTATATCTGCATTATTTCCATTCACACCCACGTTGTGTTGTTTTTATCTTGTCTTTCTCTGGACAGTGTTTTCTAGTTAATACCAGCTTATAAAAGAAAACAACGCAAAAAAAACAGGCAACATCATAAAAGATATTTGTTTCATTTTTAAAGACTCTCAGAAGAAAAAAAAGTACTGCATTCAAACTACCACCTTTTAAAGCAGCCTAAATGTTCTCACTTATAATAACAGTAAGAATTGTTCAACCTGTACTGTCCAAACAGTTCTTGTACCTTTAAATCACCCATTAAAGTTTGGCTTTTTTTTCCACTTGCTTCTGAGGCAACTTTTGAAATTTCCACCCCTCAGTGGCAGCATGCTGCATTCCCATTCTATGTCACTTGGGACTTAAATGTACTAGCATGTATTCTTTGTGTCAGGGGTTACAGTGTTTGTTTTTATGACTAATAATGTGGACCTTGGGAGCCACATATCAAAGCGCCGTTGAGGAAATATCTAAACCTCTGTTAAAGTGTAATCCCTTTCAAGGCATGTCCATACAGGAGAGCAAAGACATCTGAAAGCTCTCAACTGCCCATGCTCCAAGCTGCCTTGGAAGCAAGCCTGTTGGAGCATAGAAGTCCTTTACCTTCTGTGCCTCTACTAATGGCCCCTGTGACATTCTCCTGGTGAGTACAGCATGCAGAAAGCTGTATTTCCTTCAGAGTAGATACAGTGATTTGGGAAAACTATTGCCTAAAGTGTAGCTCACTTTAAAATAATAAAGTTAAACAAGGGCAGGTTTCATGCATGCTCATTCTTGAGAATGAAGCCAGTGTAAGATCTAAACATTCATTTAACACTCGCTCAGGTCTCACATTGAGTGAATTTTGCCCAAATATACTTCACACAGGTATCAAGATTTGCTTCTTTGTACTTGGTGTCTGAACTTATGCTTATTGATGTTGGAGTTCTTGACATATCCTTTGTTCTGTGAAGCTATATGAAAGAAGCCATAATTGGTTCTTAGACACCATGATATTTATAATCATTTAGGAACCTCAGAGAGAGCAATCACTGAGGGTTTTATAGATAGTCATCATCTTTATGAAGTGTAGGATCTATTTCTGTATTGTCTGTTGGACCCTGCTGAGAACCTCCATTGTCCTGCTCAACAAAAAGCTGCAAACTCAGCGTGGGCTCTGCTTCTTTCAAGGATGTGTGCATACATCTCTTAGAAATCAGCAGTTAGGGTTGTTTCATTAGACCTCTAATAACATCTCTACTTCATTTTCCTTCCAAATATGTTTACTTCAGGGTTGACACTTATAATGTCATCTCAAAAGAAAGAGGCTCTCCTGACAGATTTACAGTTATTATAAAATATGATGCTATCTGCATACAAATGGACAGTAGGAGCTTTAAAGAGATTTTCCCTATTATTGCTGCCCAAGGAAGCAATAAAAATTTAACATTTACCATTGGGAAACACCTGCAGAGATTAAATTAAAACTAGATTATATGCTTATCAGTTAAATGTTACAAAAGCAAACTCTTTAGAGATTAACATAAAAAGCATTGCTATACAAATCTTATTAACGGCTTCGCTCTCAGTACAATCCATTCTACACCTCCGCTGCTCAGTTGTTCCACGTGTGCAACTTATTAAGTCTTTGTGCAGCTGTACAGTGTGGAGGCAGGGCAGCCTTACTGAGGGCTCTGCTGGCAAATGCCCATGTTGATATTTAGATTTGTCTTTAAAAGTTGACCTCAAGTACCATTTGTCCTTCTCTTTCTGATCCTAGCTACTTTCTGAAGGACTCTTTGCATTACACGCTGTGTTTCTTGAGCATGGAACTGAGATGTGTTCTGGGCTCCTGCATGGAGTTCTGCTGGGAATATACCTGGGAACCATGCACCTTTGCTATTGAACTCTTTCTTTATTAAGGTCAGCAGGACAGAGGATTTTTAAAAGGCTGGGAGCAGAGAACAAGACACTGTTGTTGCTGATAGCAGATATCTGTGCTTAGTTCATGCAACCTTTGGTAGGTGGTGAACATGTTACAGAAATTGGAATCTAGGAGGCATATGGGCTGGAGTTATCTCTGATCTGCAAATTCAGAAAGCTCCAAGGCTTTAAAAAGCAACAGGCCTTTGGAGAATTCTGAACCACATATGGGAATACACAACTCAGCAACAGCCACATCTTCAATTACTTACACTAAGGCTCAGGCCATAAAGAGCTTTGATTGTGGAGATCCAACTCGGTTTGATGGATCAGCAGAGCATGACATTGACAGGACATTCAGATTGTTTGTGACGTGATTGTAAAATAAATCTTGTCATTTCCCAGGGACAAATGCAAAGGGCCATGGCTCTGTAAACATTTCTCCTCTGGACAAATCTGACCTAGGAACCCCATGGCCATTTTTTCCAACCACTTGCCATATCCTCTGTTCTGTCAGCGTAGACCTTAGCATTTAGGTGAGTCGGGAGCATGGAAGGAATCCAATTCAAAGCCTATCAATTTAGGCTTATGAAAATATGGAAAATAGAGCATTGATCTATAGGAGTGGGGGATGCTGAGGTTGAAGGGCATAGCCAAAGACTGGGGTGCAGAAATAGCTGGAACTTGCTTTGCAAGGGAGAAAAATGACTATGCAAGCATGGCCTAACATTTTAAGTAATAAGTGTTTGTTGGCCCAGACGATATTCACTGAAAGAGGTTAGGGAGTGTTCGAACAAGTATATCCAGATCAGAGGGGTGGTAACCTATTGCAAAGCAATGCTCACAAGCCCCTGGGCAGACTGAGGGAGGACTCTTTGTCAACACAGCTGGGTTTGGGAGGAGATATGTGTCCACAGACACAGCTCCCTGCACTGTCACAGTGTGCACCAGTCTTCCCTTACACCTCCCTCCAAAATGTAAGATAATGTGTCTTCCAGCAGTGCTGTAGCGTGCAGTTTGCCCTCCCACGTACCTGAAGGGATGAACTGTACCTTAGCATTTTTATAACAGACTTTCCTTTGAGGGTAGGTGTTAGATGATCAGCAGAAGCCATAGACACATCCGAATTCTGGGTGTGAGTTTGTTCTGTCATTTTATTTGGATGAATTACAGTGTTTAGCTTGGAATGGCCTGCTCGTGTCTTTTGCTTGACTTTCAGGCTCTGAGCTGTGTGAATTACTGACATGGGAATTTAAGATGTCATTTTTCAAAAATGAGATATGTTTTTGTATGTACCTGTATCCAAGATGGGGAAACTACTTAACTGCAGTCTGAATTTTCCAGTCACTATATTAAGTAATTCACTCCTACTGCCACTAGAGGTATAACATTCTCTTGTGCAAATACCAAAGGAAACATTTGGTTGGAAGCCTTGCCCGTATTAATATTTCATTTTTCGAATCATGCTTTTAATCTGTTTTTTTTTTTTGGGGGCCCCCCCCGGGTTTTTTTTGGGTTTTTTTTTTTTTTTTTGAGGCCTCATCCTACTCAGCCTTTTCCTGTTGGGAGCTCTGTCTCTTATTGAACTAAAGCTAACTGCTTGTGAGATGAAATGCCACTTTGTCATGAAAGGATGCAGAACTGAGTGCTCGTTTAAGCTGCATGAGAAGCTGAACTGTAGTGTCAGTCTCCACACCGGTCACCTGTGACTGGCTCACACGCAAGCTTGTACCAGCACGTTTACAAATCTTGTTTCATGATGCCTGTTGTTCTCCTGGATATTTATGTTCATTCTGAAATGCAAACATAAGAGAATACGATTTGAAATTAATTTCTTTATTATGACCAGCTTTCACTCAGATAGAATCTCCCTTCTGAAGCTCATTAAACATCATAAAAGTCCCATGTCTCTACCAGGGCTGGCAGGAGAAGTGTGGCCTATGCCGAGGTTTAATCACAGCTCTGTGTGCTCTGTGTACGTGCTGCTTCAGTGCAAGGCAGGGGATGGTTCTGAACCGAGCTGTGGGGATTCTGTGAGAAAGCAGAGGTTGACTAAATGAGGACTAACTGCAGCCCTGCTGGAGCACAGCCTCTGACTGTTTGAAGCTGCAGACTTTCTTTCAGAGCTTCTGACACTCAGCAGCAGGCTGCCAGCGCCGTGCTGCATGCACACAGGCTGGGAGCGCTGAGTTGATGGGAGAACTGCCCTCTGTGCCCCTGCACTGCTCAGGCCCAGCAGCACTCCTGCTGCAACCTGGCATTTCCACATGCTGCTTTTCACCTCTTCCCCACTTTTGCCTGATAAACACACTGATGGCAGCTAAGAGAGACGAGAGCGCGGCAGCTTGAGAGCGAGTGTGGTGAAAGCTGTGCCTTGAGCTCTAGCCTGAACTGCAGCTCTCTTCCATCACAGCAGGCCCACACGCAGTCTTTCTGCCATGTTCTCCTTTCAGGATTTGCCCACCTAACTCCTGGCTCAGCCACGAGAAACAGAAAAACAGGAAATCCCACGGTGAATGCTGGAGGGAGAGAGCTCTCTTAAGAGATCTGTGAAGTTTAGTAGGCTATTTGGAGTGCAACTGAAACTTTCAGAAAAAGACGTGTGTTATGGATCTATTGAAATGTAGAATCTGTTGTAATGTGGTCTATGTGGTACTTACCAGCACTGTGCTGCACGGCTCAATACTGAAAAGTTATTCTGAAGGGAAAAATATTGAAAGGACACCAGATGCTCTCAGAAATGTTGCTTTTCCCCTGAAGTGAATATCTGACAAAGTTATTGATTTCTTGAAAGATTCAATTACCGTAAGAGTGGGCCTTTGATGGCAGAGGTGTTTCCAGCACAAACTGACACACAGATCCTCTCAAAATTTCTGGTCTAGTACAGCCTTTGGGTTGCTTCTTTTCCAAATGCAATGCTAACAGCACAGTTAAAACAGCACAGTGCAGACAATGCAGATACAGCACTTGGTGTATCTTCTATTTTAGTTTCTTTGTGCTTTTTGTAGTAAATACTGATAAATTCGCCACGACCTTACTACACTCACAAGAAATTTTTGACTACAAAAAACACTTTGCAGGTGAGACACTTTGGATTGTACTGGGATAAAAGTTGATGAAATCATGCCACCAACATTATGGCAATATGTGATATAAACTGGATCCCCCAAATGTATTGAATGCAACAGCACTGCTATCTGACCTTGCTATTAGCAAGAATATGCCATTTATCTACAGCTCCCCCTTGTACAGCTTTGTAGCATACACAATCATAGGCAGCAGATTTGCTGTGCAGTTCACTGGAGTGGTTCTATCTAACATGTTGCTAACATCTCATCTCCCAAAAATCGGAGAATGGGTGGCAATCTGCTAAATTTTATCCACAATTTTGATAATTCTTCCAAATGATACAGTTCAGTGTCATCTTGACCTTCATGTTTTTCACAGGGAACAGTTACATAAAAAGGATGAATGAACAACAACAAAAGAGGAAGGCTGGGATCGTATAATCTGAAAACTGGAACCAACTGCATTTATGATTTCCTGTTTAGGTGAGGGAGGCAGACTGAATAGTTGTTAAAGCTCATTATTGTAAGTAACAGAATAGAGATTCTGCTGTAATTTCTGTCATACATTTACTCCATGGCCCTGGATGAGCATTTAAAACCAGGCTGCGAATGTCACCTCCTTTACATTAGAAATGTACTAGGTGTAAAAATTCTGAAAAAAAATCAAACTTGT